GAACAGTGGTTCTCAACCTGTGGGTCGGGACCCCATTTGGGGTCGAACGACCATTTCACGGGGGTCGCCAAACAACGCAGTCCACCAATTTTTTCCCCCTTTTCCTTAGCTGTGCTACTCCCTTTTATTCTACTCTTGAATAGAGTCTAATTCTATTGGCTTTCAAAAGCCAATAGGAATTGTCCAGGCTGTCTCTGCCCTGCTGAGCCCGCCAAAAGTCCCATTCTGCAAACGGTGCTGCACCAGTTGAGTAGTCCTCGACTTACGACCGGTTGAGTAGTCCTCGACATACAACTGGTTGGGGGTCGCGGCATTAAAAAGGTTGAGAACCACTGGTTTAGAAAGAAAAAAAAACAAAAAAACAAAACCCAGCACGAACAACTTTCACGATAAATCAGGGAGAACTCATTTTAATTTAATTTCACCGGCTGCCCAAATGAGGTCCGAACAAGTGGATCGTAATATTGCCAACTCATATATGAAATATCGTATGTTCTATGAGTGAAGAGCAGGGTGTTTATGCCAGCAGAAAAGTAAAATACAGTATAAAAATGAAAAAGTTGCTGAATAACGGCATTAATGAGTGATGATGGTTTCTTTAAGAGGCAGTTGGTTTAGTTCTCAGTCTTGGCAATTTTAAGATGCACGGACTTCAGTTCCCAGAATTCACCAGTCAGGCTGGCTGAGGGATTCTGGGAATTGAAATCCATATGTGTCAAAGTTGCCAAAGTTACAAAACACCAGTCTAGTTGGAGCACAAGCAGATAGACTTGAGATGAGGATGATGATGATGGATGATGATGATGATGATGATGATAATAACAACAACAACAACAACGATGATGATGATGTTGGAAAGGACCTTGGAGGTCATCTAGTCCAACCCCCTGCTCAGGCAGGAAACCATATACCGTTTCAGACAAATGGCTGTCCAGTCTCTTCTTAAAAACTTCCAGTGTTGGAGCATTCACCACTTCTGGAGCAGGTTGTTCCACTGGTTAATTGTTCTCACTGTCAGGAAGTTTCTCCTTAATTCTAGGTTGCTTCTCTCCTTGATTAGTTTCCATCCGTTGCTTCTTGTCCTGCCTTCAGGTGCTTTGGAGAATAGCTTGACTCCCTCTTCTTTGGGGCATATAAATCCTTCCATTCCCCACCATCCAGTCCGAACTGAAGAAGCTTCTTGGATGAGAAGCAAAACGTCTTCCAAGAAAAACAAGAAAGTCCAGTGGCCTCTTGAAAAAGCAGCTTTGGGACAACCAGGACCTGGATCGACTGGGAATCTCCAGAGACAACCAGACAGATATATTGTGAGCAGGCCATCAGTTAGAGTCGGTCAGCCTCAAAACTGAGATACTGGAAGACTGCTATCATGTCCCCCCCTCGTCCTTCTCTTCATTAAACTAGACATACCCAATTCCAGCAACCATTCCTTATATGGTTTAACCTCCAGTCCCCTAATCATCTTTGTTGCTCTTCTCTGTACTCTTTCTAGAGTCTCAACATCTATTCTATTCTATTCTAGTCTAGTCTAGTCTAGTCTATTCTAGTCTAGTCTATATTCGACTCTATTCCATTCTGTATTTCTATTCAATTCTCTTCTGTATTTCTCTTCTCTTCTGTATTTCTATTCTATTCTATTCTATTCTATTCTATTCTATTCTATTCTATTCTATTCTATTCTATTCTATTCTATAGTTGTTACTATACAATGGTCTCATTGATGGGGAGTTGATGATCCCATCCTGCAGGGCAGGGGACAATTTCAAGGTAAACTCCTACAAACTATTTCTGTGTACTTCCCACAGTTTTAGTAGCAATCAAGTAATGTGTCAAGTCACAAGAATCCTTTCTGCAGGTAGGAGAGAATGCAACATGGCATATATGTAGCCAAGCCATTTCTGTGTAATTGGAAAATTCTGTGAGGTGAATCCTTTGCCCAGCTTCTTTTCGTGATTATTCCAGCTGCGGTTTAATGCCGCCTCGACGCTTGTGTTTTGTGACCCCCGACAGTTTCAGCAATTTCAGCCCTGCTGAAATTTGACAGCAGAAAAACAAACCAATTTCCAGCAGAAAACGAAGCAAGATTGGTCTTTAAGTCACTGGAAAGATCCAGAACATCCAGGGGAAAAGATGGCAACTTGAAAACTGAACTTTTAGCGGAGCTGACCAATGCAGAGGAAATGAAGAACTAGAAAAGCAGATGGGCTCTTTGTAATTTCTTTCTGGAAAAAGACAGAACCGGACATTACCCACTAGTGCTCCGTACAGTTACTCCTTGTGACAAAACTGCAAAATTGTGGTTTCCGATAAATGTAGGGCTCTATTTCCTTCACTAATCACTTTTAATAATTGCTTGTTATCTGCTTTTCAGCTATTAGAAATCTTTGAATTAACAAGTTTTATAGCATCGGGTGAGTTTTCCCCAATCATTAGCGAAGCAAGTTTTAAATACAAATTTAAGGACTTTTTTTTTTTAAAGAAACAGCAAAGAGGTGATTAAAACTTTGATTTTAGAAAAGTAACAAGCAGACGAAGGATCCAGATAAATTTGAAAAAAAAAAGGTTTTGGAATTAATTATAATAATCCTTCCCACAGGAAAATGCTTTTGCTTTGAATGCATAAAAAAATGATCACAGGATGGGACTTTGAAGATTAGACGCTAAAGGGAAATGGAAGGAACCAGAAGTTACAATTAAAGGCAGAGAACCCTTATATTTGACTTACTAATACAGAATGGAAATTTTTTTCAAAACGTCGAACATATTGAATGATATTTTTGAACAATGAACTCAGACGTTTTTAAGAGTGTTTGCCTCTATATTTGTTTAGAGGGTTTAGAGCACATCATGAGAAAGGCAGGGCTAGATGAATCAAAAGTTGGAGTTAAGATTGCCGGGAGAAAAATCAACAACCTAAGATATGCAGATGATACCACTCTAATGGCAGAAAGTGTAGAGGAACTAAAGAGCCTCTTGATGCGAGTGAAGAAGGAGAGTGCAAAAGTTGGCTTGAAACTCAACATTAAGAAAACCAAAATCATGGCATCTGGCCCTCTCAATTCCTGGCAAATAGATGGGGAAGAAATGGAAGTAGTGACAGATTTTATTTTTCTGGGCTCCAAGATCACCTCAGATGGGGACTGCAGCCAAGAAATTAGAAGACGCTTGCTCCTGGGGAGGAAAGCCATGGCAAATCTAGACAGCATACTAAAAAGCAGAGACATCACCCTGCCAACAAAAGTGCGTATAGTCCAGGCCATGGTTTTCCCAGTTGCAATGTATGGCTGTGAAAGTTGGTCCATAAGAAAGGCTGAGCGCCAAAGAATTGAGGCCTTTGAACTATGGTACTGGAGAAGACTCCTGCGAGTCCCTTGGACTGCAAGGCGTTCAAACCGGTCAGTCCTAGAAGAGATCAACCCCGACTGCTCTTTAGAAGGCCAGATCCTGAAGTTGAAACTCAAATACTTTGGCCACCTAATGAGAAGGAAGGACTCACTGGAGAAGGGCCTAATGCTGGGAAAGATGGAGGGCAATAGAAGAAGGGGATGACAGAGAATGAGCTGGCTGGATGGAGTCACTGAAGCAATAGGTGTGAACTAAAATGGATCCAGAAGATGGTAGAAGACCTGGAGGAACATGGTCCATGGGGTCGCGATGGGTCGGACACGACTTCGCAATTAACAACAACAACAAATGAGAGAAAAACAAGTTTTATCAGAGAGGGCTCAAAGTTTATTTTAAAATATACTACGCTGGACATACCAAAAAATAATAATGAAAACCAAGAGAACGACCTGGGTAATCTTCCTGTGTTGGATTTATAAAAGAGTCTTAATTTTTTTGTCATTTTGTGAAAAGAGACAACGAAAACATGAAAAGAAAAATTTTAGGAGATCGTTTGAAGGGATTAAAGTTCAAGATGATTAAAAATAAAAGGAAGGAATATAAAGTTGGTTTATCTGATCAAGGTTAAAATAAGTATGTCGTTTTCTTTGGTGATTCTGATCAGGATTGACAGGATAAGTTTTTAAAGATTTGGGTACAGAAAAGAGGTGGGATACCAGCGTGCCAAGTTTGAAGACCCCTGCCTTAAAGGTTTTATGACTTGCATAATGCGTGGAGTCTAACCAAGCTAATACAGCTGGTCCTCAAATCACGACGACAAACTGAGCTCAAAATGTCTGCGACTAAGCCAGACCGTTGTTAAATGAGTTTTGACCCTTTTAAGGACCTTTCTGGCCACCGTTGTTAAGCGAATCACTGCAATTGTTAAGTTAGTAACTCGGTTCTTAAGTGAATCTGGCTTCCCCCCCATTGATTTTGCTTGTCAGGAGGTTGCTGCGACCGTCATAAGTACGAGTCGGTTGCCAAGTGTCTGAATTTTGATCATGTGACCACGGGGATGTCGGTCCGTGTGAAAACGGGTCCCAAGTGGCTGTTTTCAGTGTCGTCATAACTGTGAAGACTGACTGAACGAAGTGTTGTAAGTCAGGGACGACTTCTATACCAATTGGCAACATACAGGTATTCCTCGTCTTACGACAGAACTGAGCAAGCTTCATGTTGCTAAGTGAGACATCCGTGGTGAATTTGGCCTCATTCTTAAGACCTTTCTCGCCTCAGTTGTCAAGTGAATCGCTGCAGTTACTAACGGTTGTTAAGTGAGCCTGGCTTCCCCCTTTGGCTTATTCAACGGTCGCAAAAGCGGATCAGGTGACCCCAGGAGACCGCAACCGTCATAAATAGGAGCCTCTGAATTTTGACGCGTAACCCGTGGGGATGCTGCAACAGTCGCAAGTCGTAAAAGTCGCGCTTTTTTTAAAGTGCCACTGCAATTTTGAACGGTCGCTAAACAAACCGTCGTAAGTCAAGGACTACCTGTGTACCAATTGGTAACGTGCTGGACAATGAATTGTCAGGCCTGTGCACGGTGGGGGGGGAGTGGCCCTTTTTAAGCTCTCCTTTCTGTTTTGTTTTGCTTTTTTCCCTCTCCTGCGCAGAAGATGGAAATGCTTAAGGCAGAGGGGAGTGTGAAACTAAAAATGTAAGTGTTCAGCATGAGTTGCTGGGTTGTGTGGTGGCGTCTCTGTGTGCTTCTGCCCCCCCCCCAAAAGCTTTGCATGGCTTCCGCTGTGGTTTTGTGACCTGAGCAGCATGCCTGACACCTTGTGCGGTTCGTTTCCCCAAGTTCGTATTAAAAAAGGGCAAAGTTGTCCGTTTGTGTGTTTGTTAAAGTGCTCTGAAACCCTCGCCTTAGCATAGCATATGTGGCTTACTTTTTTGTTTTCCTGTCTAGCCCTTTCTTTCTTTCTTTCTTTCTTTCTTTCTTTCTTTCTTTCTTTCTTTCTTTCTTTTCTTTTCTTTTCTTTCATACTTTCTTTCATTCTGTCTTCCTTTCATTCTTTCTTCCTTCTTTCTTTTATTCTTTTTTTCTTTATTTTTTAATTCTTTCTTTCATTCTGTCTTCCTTTCATTCTTTCTTTCTTTTCTTCTTTCTTTCTTTTCTTCTTTCTTTCTTTTCTTCTTTCTTCTTTCTTTCTTCCTTCCTTTCTTCCTTCCTTCATTCTTTCTTCTTTCATTCATTCTTTGTTTCTTTCTTTCTTTTTTCTTTCTTTCTTTCATTCTTTCATACTTTCATTCTTTCATTCATTCTTTCTTACTTACTTTAATTCTTTCTTTTTCTTTCATTCTTTTTTTCTTTCTTTCTTTCATTCATACTTTTGTTCTTTCATTCATTCTTTTATTCTTTCATTCATTCATTCTTTCATTCTTCTTTTTCTTTGATTCTTTCTTTCATTCTGTCTTCCTTTCATTCTTTCTTCTTTCTTTCTTTTATTCTTTCTTTCTTTATTTTTTAATTCTTTCTTTCATTCTGTCTTCCTTTCATTCTTCTTTCTTTCTTTTCTTCTTTCTTTCTTCTTTCTTCCTTCATTCTTTCTTCTTTCATTCATTCTTTGTTTCTTTCTTTTTTCTTTCTTTCATTCTTTCATACTTTCATTCTTTCATTCATTCTTTCTTACTTACTTACTTTAATTCTTTCTTTTTCTTTCATTCTTTCTTTTTCTTTCCTTCTCATTCTTCTCTTTCATTCTTTCATTCATTCTTTCTTTCATTCTCTTCCTTTCTTTCTTTTTTTCCTTTCTTTTATTCATTCTTTTGTTCTTTCATTCATTCTTTTATTCTTTCATTCATTCTTTCTTTCTTTCTTTCTTTCATTAATTTAGAAAACGGATTATCCATCACATAACAGTAACAGTATAACCAAGTTGGGAGGGACCTTCGAGGTCATCTAGTCCAACCCCTTGCTCAGCCAGGACGCCCCGTACCATTTCAAACAAATCCTTGTCCAAATTCTCCTTCAAAGATCCGTTAAGTGAGTTTTGCCCCATTTTAATGACCTTTCTTGACGCAGTTGTTACCTGAATCGCTGCAGGGTGTTAAATCCTCAATGCTCCCCCCCCCCCGTTGACTCGGCTGGTCAGAAGTTCACAAAAGGAGAATCACAGGACCCCGGGGACACGGCGACCGTGATAAATAGGAGTCAGTTGCCAAGCGTCTAACTTTTGATCACGTGACCGTAGGGTGACCTGAAACAGTCCTAAGTGTGAAAAACGGTCGTAAATCCCTTTTTTTCACTGCCGTTATAACTTTGAATGGTTGTAAGTTGAGGACGACGTACATACAGTTTTTTTTTTAAAGAAAAGAACCTAAACTGTTAACAGTAAAACAAAATGGTCTGATTTTTTTTAAAAAAGGGGGGGGAGTAAAAAAGCTTCCCCAGGACTAAATTACTTAGGAAAAAAAAAGATTCTGATTATTGGAGCAACACAAAGAGGAATTTAATCTATTCCCCTTCTTTTGCTATAAAAATCACGGAGATTGGGGATTGATTCACCTATGGCTCCCCCTTTTTTTTAAAAAAAAGCGGATCTTTTCCTAATCACACATGCAATGTTCGATTGATGCCCCAGTGGCAAAGTTTTCCCTGGATTATATTGCTCCGGGCTGTAATTAAGGAACCGCATGTTTGAAGGGTTTACACCCCCCCCCCTTACAAAGAAATGGCACACCTGGGGGATGTTAGTCAGAATTTAGGGGACGCAGCAGCTGGAGCAGTAAGACATTATCTAGAGATGTAATTTGCAGTTCCCTGGAGCCACAAAAGAGGAACAGTCTAATAAAACTGTTATTAATGTCTGCCCCCACACTATAATCTGTTATTTATTCATTTGATTCAATCCGCATCACCCCAATAAAAGGAGGAAGGCAAGAAGGACACCGTGGGGAAAAAAATCAACATTTTATTCACCCGAAAATAAATTCAGCCAACAATCGAATGGGACTGGATGGGACGCCCTTTGTAAAATCTAGATTGAATCTGAATATTCCGACTGTTTCCAGCAGACCTCAGTTTACGACCATAGCTGAACTCGCTAAGCAAGACAGCTCAGTGAATTTTGCTCCATTTTACAACGTTCCTTGCCACAGTGGTTAAAGCAGGGGTAGGCAACGTTGGCTCTTTTATGACTCGTGGACTTCAACTCCCAGAATTCCTGAGCCATCCACGCTGAGGGGAAAGGGAGAGGTTTCCAAGCTGAACCATGCTGGCTGAGGAATTCTGGGAGTTGAAGTCCACGAGTCATGAAGGGCCATAGTTCCCCCATGCTGGCTGAGGAATTCTGGGAGTTGAAGTCCGCAAGTCTGAAAAGTTGCCAAGGTTGAGGACCCCTGATATAGGGCAGGGGTAGGCAACCTTGGCTCTTTTATGATTCGTGGACTTCAACTCCCAGAATTCCTGAGCCAGCCACACTGAGGGGAAAGGGAGAGGTTTCCAAGCTGAGCCATGCTGGCTCAGGAATTCTGGGAGTTGAAGTCCATGAGTCAGAAAGCGGCCTAGGCCTAGGCCAGAGGTAGGCAAACTTGGCTCTTTTATGACTGGTGGACTTCAACTCCCAGAATTCCTGAGCTAGCCACGCTGAGGGGAAAGGGAGAGGTTTCCAAGCTGAGCCATGCTGGCTCAGGAATTCTGGGAGTTGAAGTCCACCAGTCATAAAAGAGCCAAGTTTGAAGACCCCTGGGTTAAGGGAATCACTGCAGTTGTTAATAACCCGGTTGTTAAGTGAATCTGGCTCCCCTTTGGTTTGGCTTGTCAGAAGGTCGCAAAAGGGGATCACACGACACTGCGACCGTCATAAATATGAACCAGTCGCCAAGCGTCTGAATTTTGATCACGTGACCCTGCAACGGTCGTAAGTGTGAGCGTTAAAAATAGCTAGTTTCACGTTCGTTGTGGCTGTTCTGCACTCAAAATAAGGGGTTTCAGACCAGCCGGGCGAGGCTTCAAATTCAAAATGGCCCCAAAGGTTGGCACAGTATCGTAAACCGTGGTTTGTGAAATGCGGTGACAAGAAAAACCACATTCTGGCTTAGCCGGATATGTGAAAACTATGTTATTTGGGACATATATACAAGTTTAGAAGCAACTTTCCTAATTTGAGATACGTCGGAGATCCTGAGTGGACAATAAGGTCGTCCTCGTCTTATAACCACATCTAAGCCCAAAATGGCCACTGCTAAGCAAAGAGTTGTTAAGCCAGTTTTGCCCCGTTTTACGACCTTCCATGCCACGGCTGTTAAGAGAATCGTGTAGTTGTTAACTTATGGTTAAGCTTCCCCGTTGACTTTGCCCGTCAGGAAGGTCGCAAAAGGGGATCCCCGACCCCAGGGCACTGCGGCCGTCATAAATAGGAGCCAGTTGCCAAACGTCTGAATTTTGGGAATGCTGCAACGGTCGTTCATTGTGAAAAACGGTCATAATTCACTTTTTTTCAGCGCTGTTTTAACTTCGAATGATTCAGTGAACACATAGTTGTTGAGGGCTATCTGTGTTCAAATATTCTGATTTTATAGGGGTTTTTGTTTTTTTGCTTTGATACTTTCAGGAGAGTCAAAGGCTTTCGATCCAAAGGAACCAGCATCCTGTATGTCCATACACACTGTCAGCTTTTTATACCCCCCTTTTCCACTGAAATATACGCTTCCTGGTTGAGTTTAGGAACAGCATGCAATTAATCACAAATAAAGGGTTGCCAAGCCCCCGGAAATGACTCCAGATAACCCTGCGAAGGACTTTGGACAAGCTTCTAGAGACTAATGAGGCCGCAGCCTATAATTATTGTCTTATTGAGGATTACAGTGATTTGTCTTTGTATATAAATGAGCTTTGTGGGGTGGAAACGGCTTTGAGGATGGATCACTTCATCCATCTGCTTTGCTTTGCCCAAAGAGTAACAAGCTTGGGAGGGGCCTTTGGAGGTCTGCTAGTCCATCCCCCGGCTCAAGCAGGAGACCCTATCACAGTGATGGCAAACCTTTTAGAGACTGAGTGCCCAAAAATTGGCCCCACCCCTGCTCCACCCCCTGCCCCGCCCCTGCCCCTGCTCCGCCCCCACCCCGCCTGCCTGCAGGGTCACTCACTGCCTCCAGGGCCCGCCGCAGATCGCCACAGCAGCCCAGCAGCGCCATGGCAACCACGCTCTCTGCCCACACCCCGCAGCATCAACTGTGCGGGATGGGGTGTGAGAGCAGAGTCTTGTCTACGCTGCCTGGCTGCCATGTCCTTGGCTGCACTGCTCCGTGTGGGCCACGCTCGGGGGTGACTCTCCTCCAGGGGGGCTGCTGGTGAGGAGGGGGTCGCGGGGGGAGGCGAGGCTGGGGCAACGGCACGTGTGCCCACAGAGAGGGCTCCGAGTGCCGCCTCTGGCACGCGTGCCATAGGTTCGCCACCACTGTCCTGTCATTTAATTCCAGACAAATGGCTGTCCAATCAATCAATGAAAGGTCCTAGAAAATAATCTAGATCAGAGGTCCCCAACTTTTGGGGCACCAGGGACCAGTTCTGTGGAGAAAGGTTTTTCTGCAGACCGGAGGGGGGCGTGGTTTTGTGTGCTGCCTGCATCCGGCGGATGGGGCTTTGCTTGTTTGTACGGATCGGTTGCTGGCATGCCGTGGCCCGGTACCGATCCACAGACCGGGGGTTGGGGA